CAGAAGGAGATTCCCATTTTAAACTGCTCATCTTCAAAGCCTGCACACAGTCTATTTTCTGCTCTACTAAGAAGACACACAACCATTTGCCTTGCAGACATAAAAGAGCACTTTAGCTGGGAGAGGAATCAATGCAGCGCAGGGCAGAGGGAGAAGTATTGCACATGCAGCAAATAACCCAGGCAAGTGACTGCTCCAATTCAACTCCAGAGGGATGATCATATCTCCAGGTGGCTCACAGGGTATTTTGCTTCTGTTGTGTTAGTGTGTAACCCCTTGAACAACAGTTGTGTTTCCAGCCTAAGCCCCCTTGCACCTATCACAGGAGGTGCCCATCTAACAGCCCAGGTTGCTGGGTAGATACCCATCCACAGAGAAAAATTCATGTTAAAAGTAGTGTGCTGTGTCCCTGCTGCTGAGTGTAAGAGCAGCAATGACCCGACATTTAGGTCTTTCCACATCTAAACAGCTCCCATCCCTCCTTCAGCAGCAGCAGGAGACAGGGGTGGAGGGCTGTGCCTGATAGCTAATGGCAGCCATTTGGGAAGCTCGGAGAGAGGGTCCATATCTTTTCTGGTGCAGGTAGTGGGACCATTAATCCTGCTATGGTACCACTGGCAACTGCCTGCTTCACTTGTACTTTGGGCCAGATTTTAGGAGGGGCCACCTGCCCATGACCTTGGGTCCCATCCCTTTCCTCCACCTGGAGGAGGAAGACACTTGTTCTCACTGTCTGTGTTTAGGTCTGTACTGAGGATCTGGGTTGCTGTCACACTGTAAAGGACTGCAATAGCAAGTGCCTAGCTGTGAAAAGCATGCAGAGCCAAAGAAGTAAGAGAGAAACATTATTGTGGGAGAAGAAGCAGAGAACATCACTTCTTGCTTCACCTTTAAGTCACAGAGGAAATTGCCCAGACAAGGTTGAGGCCCCCACATGTCTGGGGAGCTCTTAGTGCTGGAGCTTAATGGAAAGTGGTTCATCTTCTGCTTCTTGGTATTGACCATAGTCTACAGCTCTTGCTTCCTCTCGCTGCTATTCCTGTGGGCAAGTGAAAACCCCCATCAATAATAAATGCGGATTAGAGAGCTGCATTTCCACTGCATCTCTGTGGAAATCTCCAGCTTGCTATAGCCACTTTGCTAGAATACCTTCATCTGAAAAACAAAAAGAGGAAAGAAAAATTATTCTGGAGTTCAGCATGACAAAAATGGAAAGGACTCCCTCTGCTTTTGCCCTTTTATAGTGCTATCTCTTCAGGACTATAACCAAACGCTTTACAATAGTTTTATATTATTTTTCCTGCCATAGTGTGCAGGTGCTTCTGATGAAAGAACAATGATTTGGTTTGCAAGGACAGTGTACAGATGTTAGGTATTGTATTCCATTTACAGAAAAATGCCAGGTCTCCACTGAAAAGTAATTGAAGGCCACCTCTCTGTCACTTGGGTAGTAGTAGCATTGCCAGCTTGCTCTTCTGTGGGGTCAGTGTCAGCCAAAAACACTGTGGACTGGTTCTCAGAGGGAAGAAGTGGTGCCAAACCCAAATGAAGTGGTTTCTTCCTTCTGGACTACCCCCAGGGAGGCTGGGCAGGGTGGTGGGTGAAGTGAGACTCAGTGCTCTCCTGGAATACCCTCCTTGAGGGTGCCTCCAAAGGGATGGTTTGATGGGGCCCACCTGTGGCTGTAGGGGCAGTGCTTGTGGGGGTTAACATCTCCCAAGTATGCCTGCCTGGCCTTCTCTCTGCAGCTAAGCAGCCTTATGCCCAGCTCTGCCCCTTGTGCTGTGCAATGCAGTCCCTCTGAGGCATGTGGTGGGGGGAGGGATGAGGCTGTTGGGTGTGAGGGGGCAGAGGACTCTGCTGGCTTGTTACAGGAATGGATTGATCACAAGCTCTCCTGGAATCCAGAAGAATACGGTGGGATCACCGCCATCCGTGTTCCTTCTGAGTCCCTGTGGCTTCCCGACATTGTTTTGTTTGAAAAGTGAGTAGCATGGCTTCTTGCTCTGGGCTTAGGCCAAAGCTTGGGCAAGGCACGTCAGCCTTGTGTGTGCTGCCAGAAATCTGCTGCTTTAGGCAGTATGAATGTTGGCTTCCCTTGTGCTCCAGGTGGTGGGTGGAAAGCAGAGCTATGAGAGGGTAGGACAGGGGCAAACAGAGTCATGAACTTGGTACTATCTCTTCCTGTCCAACTCCTAGTGCTGATGGACGTTTTGAAGGATCCCTGATGACCAAAGTCATAGTGAAGTACAATGGAGTGGTGACCTGGACCCCACCTGCCAGTTATAAGAGCTCCTGCACGATGGACGTGACCTTCTTCCCCTTCGACAGGCAGAACTGCTCCATGAAGTTTGGGTCGTGGACATATGACGGCAGTATGGTGGACTTGATTTTAGTGGATGAAAATGTAGACAGGAAAGACTTCTTTGATAATGGGGAGTGGGAGATCTTAAACGCCAAAGGTATGAAAGGCAACAGAAAGGATGGGCTGTACTCTTACCCATTTGTCACGTACTCTTTTGTCTTGAGACGCCTTCCACTGTTTTACACTCTTTTCTTAATAATCCCTTGCCTGGGATTGTCATTTCTAACTGTCCTGGTGTTTTACTTGCCTTCAGATGAAGGAGAAAAGCTTTCACTATCTACCTCAGTTCTAGTCTCCCTCACTGTTTTCCTTTTAGTGATTGAGGAAATAATCCCTTCTTCTTCCAAAGTCATCCCTCTGATCGGTGAGTATCTGCTGTTCATCATGATTTTTGTGACCCTCTCTATCATCGTGACTGTGTTTGTTATCAACGTCCATCACCGCTCCTCAGCAACTTACCATCCCATGGCTCCCTGGGTTAAAAGACTCTTCCTCCAGAAGCTGCCTCGGTTGCTTTGCATGAAGGGCCATGTAGATCGTTACTCCTTCTCCGACACTGAAGAAAAGGAAACCACCTTGAAATCAAAGCTCCTGGCGAGGCAGAAACACAAGCAAGCAAAAGACGGAGAGAAAATTGTTATTGCCTTTCTGGAAAAGGCAGCCGACTCCATTCGGTACATTTCCAGGCATGTCAAAAAGGAACATTTCATCAGACAGGTAAGTGAAGGGAGGGCAAGGAGGGGTCACACTTTCTTTGATAACAATGGCTTCCAAGCTCTTTCCTTTCCTGCATGCCTTTCCCTTTGCCTTTTCCTCCTGCTCTCATCTGAGACGTGTCCTGGGAGCTTCCCCTGCTTGACAAATAATATGGTTTCTAAGAAAAATTGCTTCAAGGAGGATTGTACTATGCTGTTAAAGTCCCTGTTCTTCACAGACACGAGAGGTCACAACAGCTACAGGCAGGTTCTGCGGCAGTTGATAGATCTCGGTCCTGACCTCCCAGCAATTATAAAGAGTGTAGCTGCGCTGTTTTGGGTGGAGGTCTTCTAGATTTTCATTAACATCAGTTCAGATTAGTCCCTAAATACCATCCTTCTCCTCCTTCCAATAATCTACCCAGCTGCTAAAAAGGCAAATTGCTGTGTGTGTAAACAATGCACCTAGCAGCACATAGAAAGAGAAAAACTTCTGTTAGCACCTTCCTAGCAAAAGCCAAAGCTTTGTTCAAACTGCAATGAGAGGACTTTAGCAGAACGTTGAACAGTATATTAAAAATGCAGTATGTGAGCATACAGTATCCAGGACTGAAGACTTGAGCTTGATGCTGAAATAATAATTTTAAAAAGAAAAAAAAAAGAGAAAAAAAAAAAGTCCCTTGAATTGCTTTTATAAATAGCCCTTCTGTGTGTGCAGGGTTTTACCAGTACTCACAATGCCAAATCCCTCCCCTGAACACACACAATCTGAGCCAGCGCAGCACTTAAGCAAACACAAGCCAATGGGACCACTAGAAGCAATGTCTGCATCAAAGTGTTTTGCTAAAGCCGAGTCCCAGCACTTCAAAGGAAATGCAGGTCTGTGAAAAGAAACCCTGTTCATTATGAAGCCACCTTCAAGCTTGAGTCTGTAAACTTTCACATATGCACTTAGCTAACAGCTTTTGCACAGGCTGAAAGAAGACCGATTACCATGTGCGTAAAACTATGGAATTGTTTTGGTGTTTCAAGTGACTTGTAGCTATGGGTGCTGAAAAAGGGATCCATGTCAGTTTGAGGATGCAGCACACTACAAAACTTTGATTTTAAAACAGATTTTTGGAGCAGAAATATATGTAGCAGTATCAACAAAGTACTAGGCTCATTACTGTTTCTGTTTGTTCTCCCCCCACCTTCCCAGGTTGTCCAAGACTGGAAATTCGTAGCTCAAGTCCTGGATCGGATCTTCCTGTGGCTATTTCTGGTTGTGTCAGTGACAGGTTCAGTTCTCATCTTTACCCCTGCATTACAGATGTGGCTGAACAGCACTTTGTAGAAAATGCTCCCACAGTAGTGTACAAGTACAATGCCAATGGATGGTGGTGCCTTTGAGCATGGTCTCTGTTGTACAGGATGGGAAACAACAGCAAGGACGAGGGAAGGTGGTGGTAACAGCAGGCATTGACCAGTGCTTTCTATCTTCATGCAACCCTACCAGTTACAGATCTGGCTGAGATCAGAGAAGTGCTTGGTGAGCAGGTGAGCCCTAAAGTGAACTAGGGTTGCGCAATTGCGCTATAAGTATTTTACTAGCAGCTTGGTTGTATTACAATAAAAGCCAAGATTATTAGTTAAAATTGGAAATAGTACTTCTGGCACAATGATTATACTTAAAAGGCACGTCTTTCAATTAAAATGCTACATTATAAAATAAGTTAGAGTAGGAACATAAATAAATACTCAGTTTGTCTACATTTCCAAGCAAAAAACACAGAAGTCTCTACAGATTGCTTTGTGCATGTGTCAGAACTGGCAATTGCACAGCATGTGTATCAAAAAAAAGTACAAATACCTTTTAGATGTGATGTTCCAAGCTTTGACTCTATGGCCTCACCTTGCTGCAGGATCAGTTCAACAGAGGCAGAACTTACCACTCTGCCCACCTGCTACCAGCCCATATGGCATGCACACTTTGTCTCTTCTCTTGGCCATCAGGAAGCTACAAGGTGTTACCCACCTTTCAGTATTACTTGCAATTTTGCCTGCTGCTCTGTAACACACCAAAAGGCTGAACAAGTAAGGATTTTCCCCATGCTCCGTATTTAGAAACTATGATTCCTGCACCTGCTTGTTCACAAGACTAGAAGTGGAAGATCACCTGGTGCGTATTGCATGGAGAAAGGTGGCTATGCTACTCCATAAGGCAACAGTGATCTTTCTAAATAGTTCATTTAGAGAGAAGCTGCAGACACTGTTTTTGGCAAATGAAACCTCTGGTTGGTGCAGAAGTGCAGTTTCTCCTGAGAGTTGTGGGGGGAGGCTGGCTACCTGGAAGACACATCTCTGGGTGTTGGCTTGTTCGTGTTTCCCAGGTAATTCAGAATTTCCTTCCTTTGATTCATTTAAATGGGATCCTTCTGCATGATTAGAAACAGATCTTAAAAGTGTAAATGAGTCATAGGTGAAAAGGCATAGGTGACACTCTCTCCATTTTTGCTGGGGCAGTGTTTGCCAACACGGAGTGCTTTAGAAAGTCCTATTCAGAATTTACAGAGTTTTCCAAGGCTAACAAGCGATCCTGAGATGTAATTTTTGATAATCTAAATGCAAATCTGGTGTTAAAGCTTTAGCTAGCCTTGAAACTTTCTGCCTAGGGATGGAGGTTAGAAGGTGTTAAAAATAGATGGAGGTATTCTTGTCCTTGGATTATGTGTGCACACCAGACCTCTGTGAATTAATATAATTCCATCTTGTGTCACTGCAGAAAGTTCTGTTCACTTGTGCGATCATTATTAATAAAGATATATTTAGTCAATTATTCCTGGGGTCACAGTGCTCATATGCTGGGCTTTGTTGTTGTTTTGTTGTCAACAAAGTTTAGATTGTAGACCATTTTAAAAGCCTGTTCTCAAATCTATTCAAACAGAGAGGTTTTCACATTCTTAGAAAGTCATCATAACATTTTAGCTCTGTGTGTAAGTTTGAGGAGGGATCATTCAGATGTAGTTATTATATTGCAGGAACCTAAACCAGACACATGTAGTTTAGCATATACAGATACATGTCTTAACATAAGACACCGGTATAAAAATCTTACACATTGACCTTACTACCAGCTGCTCCTCTCTTCTTGCATTGTTTAGGTCAGCTTGTCCCCCTGGCCAGTACTGTGAAATATCCATAGGAGAACAGCTAGGAAGCTCTTATTTCCAGCATTTACAGGCTCTTGAAATCAATTAGTGACAGGTTTTCCCTCTGAGCACTGCTGCCAGTGGGTTGCCTGTTAGCTATGACAGATGACAAAATCCTCTCCTGGGCAAGTGCTTCAAGTGCTCAGCTGGCAGATGGTCCTGTCCTCACCTTGCATAACTTTGGTTGCCTGCTCACAGGCAACACATGGCTGTGTCTCATGAGGCTGCGTCTGATGCCAAGCTGCTTTTTCTGGCTTGTGCTAGTAAAGGTCAGCAGGGCTCAGGTCCTTGGAGTGGGAGATGTAAGAACACTGCACAGGCATGGCTTTTGGCCTCTGGTCTTCCTAGCATTGTATCTGGGACAGCTACAAATGTAGTCTCACTGCTCATTATTTCCTTGCACTGATGGTTTCTGAACTTCCCTCAATCTCTTTGCCACTGGCCAACAAATGCATTCGGCATGTCCCAGAGCCTGGCCTGCCACTAAAAAATACAACTAGGGAGGACATTTGGGCATACAGTCCTCAGATGGGCTCCTTCCCTCTGCTCCATATGCTTTGGCTGTGGATGACAGCCTTGCAAAATTTCAAACACTAAAAAAACCCCAGCAACCCTCTGCCTTACAATGTGCTGCCTTCTGTGTTGCCTGTGTGCCCTCCTGTGCTGCCTTGATTTCTGGGCACCGCTTTGCCAGGGATGCACACTTGGCATGCTTGGCAGGACCATGTGTATTATCCATTCACCAAGGGACAAATACGACAGACTACTCTGGGCCTTTTAGTGGGGGGAAAGTGCAAAGATGCTCTTCCTTGAGAAGAGAATGTAATCAGCTGGTTGAGCTGCGAGATTGCTTCTGTGCTTTTAAAATTAACTCATAGATGCCATCACTCTTAAGGAAAGGAGATTTCAGGCTGCCATGGGACACAAAAGCTGATGTGGCTTTGGAGCTGATGGGACGAGAATAGGCACACCACACTGTGTGCTCTGCAATGAACATGGGTACTTTTCCTGTGGCTGTGTGCAGTGTGCGACCCACCTCAGTGTCTGGGATGGCACCAGCTCTGTTTGAAACTTTTCTTGGTATTTCAGTTAGACGGTCCCCCCAGCACCGTTTAACTTTGGAGTAAGCAAAAATGTCACTTTTGTGGGGTTCTTCAATGCCCGCTCAGAGGTGGGCCCCTGCAGCAGCTTTCTCCATAGTGAGATGCTTAGTGTGTCCCCCACCCTCAACTCTCTAATCAGGCAACCACTTCACAAAGCTGACAAGAGTACACAAGGCTCCCAGTCTTGGATGTGTCAAACACAGCTGAAAATGGCAAAACAAGGATCCAAAACTTTCTGGGTAGGAGGAAGGAAGGGAAAATAGTACACCCACAAAGAGACAGAACATGGCTTTGTAAACCTAACTTTCTTAGGTTACCTGGCTGATGAGCTAAACTGTCCGAGGCAAGACAGAGAGATAAACTGTACTGTAAATGACAAAGACAGGGAGTTGATGCTGGGGCACCAAGGCCTCCTAACTGGAGATGAGGATCTGTACAGTTGTGAATACTTTGACAAAAAGCCAGGGATTTTGCTACAGTCAGCTTACTGGCTGTGGGGTAGCAGCTGTCATGCCTAAGACATTAATGCAGTACGCCTTGAGCCACGATATTTTCACTGTTTGTATGGTCATAGACTGCAACAGCAAATGCTGGCAGTCAGATGTTTTTCCTGTAGAAAAGAAGCTTTCAGGCTCAGAATGCAGCTCACCTCTTCAAATTCCCTTTCTTTTTCCCCTCCTCATTTCTGATTAAAGAGCCAGCACAGCAAATCTCATTTAGTAGCATCTCTAAACACACTGTACAGCAAGGAGTTTTAAAATAAATACAAATTCTTCAAGAAAGTATATTCCAGGAGTGATATTTAATTGACAGGCTGAGAAAATAAACCATGCTTGTTCATACATCTTTCAGTTGCTACATAATTATGCAACATTCAGGGGATTACAGAAAATACGGTTTTCTTCTAGAAAATAATGACTTTATATATTTCTACTACTGGACTTAGACAGTTATATTCTTGTCATTCCACCTTTATCTCTGACATATACATTTATTCAGTCCTATTCTTTTTATCATGGAGCATAAAAAAAGCACAAAAGGCCAGTCAGAGATTTCAGAAAGAGGGAGTCATACTTTCCAAGGACTGGTGATGTTCAAAGCAGAGAATGATACATGGCAGACACTGAAAACACTGCACTGACACTGTACAGTTAAATGTAGAGCCTCCTATAAAAGAGAAGAACATTTTACTCTTGAAGCTACACATTTTAACTGCCATGGTGTCTTTCAGAGAAGAATCCTTCAGCACAAATCCAACAGTTATCTGAATAGACAAGGGACCTGAAAGTAAACTGTCCACATAATACAGAAACTACATCAGGTATGCATCTACAAAGTGTTTCAGGATTAAGCACATTAGGACTTGGAACCTGGTTACATAGCAGCAACCTCAGCCCTGAAGGAAGTGTCCCTACAGTTACAGGTTTGCACACACAGCACTGACCAGGAGCCAGCAAATCCCATAGGATTGATGATAGGCCTGCATATATCTCCTGCAGGGATATATGTAATCCAAGCTGGTCTTGGGTCTTAAAAACACAGGAAAACTCAGATCAATCCCATGCTTTCAAGCCAATTCTGTCTGTGATGAGTAGCTACTCAGGGACAAACTCCTCCCTGTTGAGCTTATGTCCGAGCCTGAGCAAGCAAGAGTTTTCAGAGCAAGCCCTGTGGACTGGGACCACTGTTAACCTGACAGGAGAAATGTGACTTGGAAATCCTACTGGAGCTCATTGAGGTATTGGTATTCAGTACCAGGAAGCAAAGGGTACTTTAGTCACATGCAAAGTTAAGTGGCAGATGAACTAGTTTTTAAAGGTCTTAGAAGCATGTAGATTTCAAGTGTGGATGCCTTACATGGTAACCACAGATGGTTCAGGTCCATTCTGGTTTTCCATAGTGCATCCAGGTTCTTCCTCTTTGGTGACTATATTGCTTCAGATTATGTCAGCAAGGCTACATGCAGTGCAAAATAGTAAGCAGGTTTGTCTTCATCTATGATTAAATGCTTAAGACCTGTCTGACTTCAAACATAAATGTAAAAATGTGCTTTGTTGAACTGGGACACAAAATATATCTGTGTACATATATTGCAGAAGGTGGGGACCCTTTAAATTGTATTGAAGATGTTACAGGGTCAAGGGATTGGTTTGATCATACTTTTATTTTGATTATTGTCTGCCTTGACACAAGAACACAATGAAGAGCATTGGTCCAGTCAGTAGATCTGTCATATCTCATCTAAGTGCCATACCAAAGACTAGCTGTTACACAAAGAGAGAAATAGAGAGGAAACATAAATTAACTCAAAGCTGAGGAAGAGTAATGATCAGGAGAGAGAAATGAAGCCAGGTTGAGTCCTCTTTGGACAATGCATTCAGAATTTCCTGAACTGTCCTAATAGCCCCCTGTGTACTGAAGCCAACAGAAAAGCTCAGTAACTTCAATCTGCTCCTGGGCTCCTCAGTGCGATTGTTATTGCTGATCTCTCTGAGGGAAAGACAAGCAGGTACTCTAAAATCCCAGGTGTGCTGCTGCAAAAAGACCACATGCTCATCTCCCATTTTCAGTCCTCTTCTCATTCTGTTTTGGGTTATTCGCTTTCCCAGAGGACCTTTCCCTCTCTTTCTCCTTTCCTCCATGGCTGGGTGCTGAAGAGCTGATGAGCAGAGGGGTTATGTAAGAGGAGAGAAATATAGGGGACAGTTCTGAACCAAAAATGAAACAAGAACAAAAGTGGACAAAAAGCAGAGGATCCAGTTATGTATCTGCTATCAGTGGCTGGATAAAGAGCCCTGCAGTCCCAAACACACAAAGGATTATAAATACCCAGAGAAATACTCTATCTATCACCATAGCTACGTATTTCCAATCATCTTCCACCTGCAAGAGAAAAAAAAAAAAAAAGGATAAACTACATGTAATGTAATGTGCACTTGCAAGTTGACATTATGTAGTAGAAATGTCCCTTGTGCTTTTGAACGTGAGGAAGAACATGTATGCAGTCAATAATGTTGCTTGTCATGCCTATAGTTGCTGCAGTTTTCAAGTGTCTTTAGAGGGGGCTGATTTTCTAACTATTTATCACTTTTGGCTGAGAACATTCAACACTGTCCTTGTCTGCTGAATTTTTCTAAATATTCAAGTCTGTCGGCAAGCTATGGCTGTGATGCTAACATTAACAAATAGGACATGATCAGGTGGTAGGTGCAGAGTGGGGTGGTTTAACAGCACGCAGAATCACCGTAGATGCACATCACTAGACCACGTCAAAGGATTTATCCTGACAGCCCACAAAAGAGACAGTTTGCTACTCTGGCCTGATTTGCCACACTGTCACTCCAGTAAAGCCCCACTGATTTCAGCAAACTGGACAGCTGGGCACATGGACTACAGCAAAGCAAGGGCCCTGAGCAAACCACAGTGTCACGTGCTAAACAGGCCTGAGTGGATTTTGTAGGTCTGAGAGATATACCTTAGAACCACATTCAATGAAGTTGCTGTTCTTTAAACTGTACCTACATACAAGGACCACTGCATCAAAAGAATGATCACACATACAAAACTAGTGACTGGTTAAGAGCTCTCTGCTGAGGGATCTTCCACTGATTTTCCCAATTTCTTTGTTTTCCTCCAAGGGGCTGCTGCTCTACTTCTTCTGAAAGAAAATACAGCAAGAACTCCAGCTGCTGCAAATGTTGCCACAATTTCTAAAGGCCTTTTATTTATATAGGACTAGTGCATGACATCACCCATATGGCTTTGTATGTCTGTCTGAAGCAGAAGCAGTCTTCAGAATCATTTCCTCACTGCTTGCGTGAGAACACACCCCCTTTTTTCCCTAAAGAGAGGATTTTTCCCAAACGAAAAATCCTGCTTCCCATCTCTATTATATTTTGAAAGGTAAGATAAAGAGCTGCTGATACAGTCTAAGAATACCCTTTCATGTGGCAGGAGAGATGTGCAAAATGAAATCAGCAAAACTGGCAATGGGAGACTTCTCATAACCTGTATAATCAGGGTCACATGTTATCTGGACTGCTTCACGCAAAGCCTCTTCTTTTTGGGAGGCTATGGAAGAAATCAGCTGAATATGGTACATGGATATGTTTTATGCAGCTGGCGTGGCAGAGAGAGCAGGGGTAAAATGTTGGGGTAGGCAAAACAGTAAGGGCATAGGTATAAACAAGGCTGAGTTCAATCCCCATCCTCCTCTGTGCTGATAGATTCCTGTCTTTTGCTTTGGGCTGGCATCTACTACCCACACATCCTATGAATTCAGTCACCAGGCCTCAACTCTATCCCTTTATTCAGAAAGTTATCAACTTTGTTTTCAGATGAAATGTCTTCTTCAGGATATAAAAAAGGGGAAAAAAAAAAAGTAATTTTGGGTGCACAGAAGTTGCAGGAATTTGTGCTAATTTCAACAAAATATTCTGATAGAAAGAATACTTCTCAATATTTGCCTCACAAAGTATTTATGTTTTTCAATACAAATACAGCAGTATTTAATTTTAAAATGGATTTTCCTGTCATAGAGCATCTAAAAAACTTCGAAACCATAAGCAAACATTTCATGATAGATCAAAGTTAAATGTTTCATCAGGTTCTAAACACTTTTAAAAAACATCTTGAAGTGTCAGAGAATTCCTGTTCCTTGTGAGGCCTGGGTGTGGGGGATGTTAGATAATCTTTCTTGGAGCTGCTTTTAGTTGCCTGTGTTTAAACCTGAGGACACGTCCCCAGAATTCTCTGAATTCCAATGTGCATCATTTTCTATGACAGTAATCCCAGTTAGGATGAAAGATTTATAGCCTCACACAAGCAAATCCATTAGCTCAAATGCTAAGTCTCATTTTTAAACCCCTCTCTTTTTTTTTTTTTTTTTAAATCTGTCTTTATTCATCTGCTGTCTGTTTTTATTCATCTGTCTTCCCCCAAAACTCAACTTTTATTTCAACATGTTTGTCATGGGTGAAAATGCTGTATGGCTAAAGTCACAATTTGTCAAATCACTGTAAAAAATTCAGAACACACCAGACTGAAACAAAGTACAGACAACAGCATTCTAAACCAAATATCTTTACCAGATTTATCACTGGCTGAGAATAGTTCTTCTCCAGATCAACTAGTGCGCTGCTAGACAAGCCCTGTTCTTTAAAAAGCAGTTCCCAAATTTGCATGTTCCATTACTAACACAGAAAAGCACCCTGCTTGGCAATTACCATGCTTAGTATTGAGACATCACTGCTTACCAGGGCTGAGCATTTGGTGAGGAGTGGAAGGGGGTTGATTCTGAGAATCTACACAAGTAGGGTTGTAAGAGACCTTGAAAAGTCCCATTTAGTCTATTATCTGCCCCACAGCAGTATCAACTCTGCCTGAACCACCACTGGTCAAACTTCATTCCTCATCGCCACAACAGACTGATGCTCCTCTTCCTTTCCTTTGAAGGGTGAGTCTCATAGCTAATCTAAAACTGTCTTACTGCTTGAATTATCCATCGGGGGTAGACAAAGAAGAGATGAGATCACTTTCCTTGCTCCATCCTCAATGGATTATTTATCTCCACCCTTTCTGTAGGAAACTTTGACCCATTCACAGGTCCCAAAATTTTCTAGTCTAGTCTAGACCCAACAATTCCACTTCCTCTGGGCTGCCCTCCTAGATCATGTTTTCACTTGTTGTTCTCTTGTGGAGTGCTGGAAGTGTGGCCCCCATGCCCAGCTGGATGTTTACCTCCCTTACCTCTTTCGTTTCATTTTGAGATCTCATGTTCTCTGCAATGAACTGAACGCTGCTAATGACATCCTTCACTTCTGGGGAGTATTCCATGTGATCTGCCATCCATTTCAGTGACTGATGGCTCAGTCTTCTTTTGGTGGTACTGAGTTCAGTTGCCTTATCACAGTGACTGCACCGCTGCTCCTTGTGTAATTTGGTATCTTTGTGTTTGCTGTACTTTGACTTGCCTGATGTACTGGCTGATCCTTTCTTGTTTTTTCTGGAGATGCTTTTTTTCTGCTGTTCTAGTGGCCTCTGCATTAACAGGACTTTGGGGAGCAGACTAAGAAAGACAGTTTTTACCCATTTGGGCATTGTGTGTGTGGTTGGAGTCCTGTAATGTATATTCAAGACAAACACTGTGATGACAATTGACAGAGTCACAAATATCATAGTGAAGAGTAAATATTCACCTACGAGGGGAATTACTAAAGAGGTGGATGGGATTGTTTCTGTGATCACTAGTAAAAATACAGTCAAAGAAAGCAGCACAGAAATGCAAAGAGTCACTTTCTCACCACAGTCAGATGGCAAGTAAAAAACTAATACAGTCAGGAATGAGATAAAGAGACAGGGAATGATCAGATTTATGGTGTAAAACATTGGCAACCTCCGAATATAAAAGGAATACGTTATGTCAGTGTAAATCTCTTCACAGCAGTTATACTTGATGTCGTGTTTGTAGCCAGAAGCATCAACTATTTCCCATTCACTATTTTCCCAAAAGTCATTCATATCTACTTTGGATCCAATGATCAGAAGATCAATTTTGGCTTTGTCATAGGTCCATGAGCCAAACTTCAGTGAACAGTTCTGATGATCAAATGGGAAAAAGGTAATATCCATGGGACAAGAGCTTTTAAAAATAGCTGGTGGGGTCCAGGTGATCATTCCATCATAGTGAAGCAGGGCTTTGGTCTTGCCTTCAACTTGAAAATCTCCCACAGCACTAGAAAAACAAGAGGCAAAAGAAAGAAAATTACCATGAAAGGAAAATGTTTTTCAATGGGCACTGCAAGAGGACAGTTTTGAGAGAAGGGGTAAAATGGAAAAGTATTCATCATACTTATTATACAAGACAATATCTGGTTTCCAAATTTTATCTGCTGGTACCCGAACAAATTCAATGCCATCGTACTCTCTGGGATCCCATCGCAATTTGTAGTCATTCCAAATCTGAAAGAAGAATGGACAAGGATTTTGAAACTTTGTATTATCAGCAAATATCTGCTTCTCAGATCATCCTGTAAAATGATAGGCTATGATAAAGACTGAAAGTGTGGCACGTGTAGAAGGGGACAACGGTCCAAACAACAACAAGGCCATGACCTGGAGAAACATTCGACATACATGAACATTGTCACATTGATTTGCTACTCCCTCCTCTGTTGTAAACTGTTAGCCACTGTGGACCTGCTGAGATCTCTCCTCTGTCTTGCTACATCAGTACACCCTTACCTGTGCAAGGTTACTGCCCCACTGCAGAGAGGCAATACAGGCCTTGCTGCTGCTGCTGCCATAAGTGTGTACATTGCAGGCTAAAGGAAGCCAGCATCAAAGAAGACCAACATCCTAATGAGAAAGGAGGTACATATGCACACTAACAGGCAGTTGCTGCCAGGAGACATTGTTGGTTCCACAGGGGTAGCGAATTACCAAGCCAGGGGCAACAAGGGATGCCCAGCAGCTCTCCTGCCTTGCTGTCTTGTGCACTGTCATGGTACATGGCTCTCGCAGCCTACCCTGAAGATCCTCATCAGAAGTACAGTATCTTTACAGAAAGCTTTGTGTGGATCACAACCAGTGCCTGAAATAAATTGGTTTTGGTGGTAGCTGGCTTATTTTTCTCAGCAGTTTAGGTCCTCTACAGATCTTTGTCTATGTATAAATGCTAAAACCATCAGGAAAAATGGAGGCAGGTTCCTTTTGCTAATAAATGTTTTGGTTGGAATCTTCACTATAGAGATGGCCTAGGACTGCAGAGCTGCATATTTAATCACTCTTTAAGGAGTACATCCAGCTTGATTTACCAGATAAACCAAGGATCATGAAATTGGAGGAGAATATACCACAGAGGAAAGATGGGACATGTAACTTCTTGGAAATAAGCATAAAGAAATTACTTTTTCAAATGTGTCTTTGGTTAACAGAGCTTCTCCTGATTCATACCTTTAAAATCCTTGTTGCAAAACAAGCACTTATTTTATAGATGTAGCTTACAAGATAACACACATTTCATCATATCAATGCAAAATGCATGAGGAATGCAATGCAGTCACTTACGTGTCTTAGCCACAGATTTGTTTCCATAATCTGATTGACTTCGTCCTAGAAAGAAACATAGGCATGCACATCTTCACTCCATAAATCATTTACAGTACCCTGAGATGGCCACAAGCTTATTCTGATAAAAGTGGAAACTAGAATTACACATTAACTGATACCAGTTATTTTCAGGGGGCTTACATATTGTGCAGAGTCATGTGCAGCTCTACTGAAAAATCATGCCCCACAAATACCAGGCATACAAAAAGCTGCACTGTTGTGTCGGGGGCCTCTGTACCTGGAGAACACAAACCTCTTAGAGTTGCTCAGACTAGTACCAGAGGAACAAGTTTCTGCTGGTGGCTATGTGTTTTGTTGGATTCAGAGTTTAAAAAGCTCTGTTTATACAGTACAGTACTGGTCAAGATTCAAGGAAAATGGCATCTGTACCACAGTGTTCTTGCATTTCTATGCAAACCTCTAGAGCAGATGCACTAAACCAGCACTAAATTAGGCCACTGTTGTACTGATACCTTCCTTTTGCAGTCAATTATTGCTATTGCCAATCCGTGGTGAATCAGGAATATACTGCAAGAGACATAAAAATAAAAGTTTGGATCTTGTTCTTATGAGCCTTCATCTTAGAAGTATTTTGAAAGACTTATATTACATATATTTATGAATGCAGGCTGAAATTCACAATGACAATATCTGTAAGAATATTGTTTGGGGTAGTTATGAGTTTCTAAGCATGTAGATTCAAAAAATTTAAGATATTTACAAGCCAAAGGTAGAAAAATGTTATAAATTTTCAACATTGCATACTCAAGATAAAACACAAAGATAATTTTGAAAGGCCCGTGGGGTTCCTGTCAGTGGGTTAAACTATCTACATTCTTGTAAAAATCATGACTCTTTCCTGAGAAAATCCAACTGATTTATTTACGATGTTCCTTTTGTTTTCTCCAAAGACAGCACTGGGAGCCAGTGGCTGCAATGTGCGACAGATCTTCTGAAACCTGCCAAGCTACCTGTAACATGGAAACAAAATACTTTGACAAAGGAAAGGTGACAACTGCCATCACCATGGGAGCTTGCAATGCCCTCATTTATGCCCTTAGATAACTTAGCTCCCTGGCTGCTGCTGAATGTTGCTCCTCACTGTTTGCCTGTCACTTATTAAGGGACTCAACTAGGTATGTCAGCATCAAAACTCAGCCTCTGTTCTGTGGATAATTTGTATCACAGAGCAGACTTCAACAAGGGTTAAGGTCAGGTTTTGCTTCTTCGACAGTCCCTTTGCCCTACCCAAAAGGTCTACCACCCTAGACACACTCACCTTTGTATACAGTGCACCCTAGAACACACAACCTTCATCCCCAGCTCCATGCTTTAAAACACCACTCTGCAGGCTGCATACCTCTTCATGTTATTTTGAAACAAATCGACTGAAAAAGCATTAAAAAAATAATAAAAATATTTCTTTCTCAGGACCACTGGGGAATGACACTGGCCCCGCAGGAGAACTAGGCCACATGCTACACAACGTGGACACAACCAGGTGTCTCTGGAGTGGGCTAGCCCTGTGGAGAGTAGACTTGAACATTTGATATTGCTGCTCTGGATGCAGAGGCTGCTCCCCGGAGCGGAGGGATTTGACACTACAGAGTAAGCAAATTAATCTGAACCACTCATTCGAGCAACTGGAGCGACTTGGCTGACAGAAAGAACAGCAAAAGTCTCAGCACGTACACATATGCACACGGGACAATAGCTATGAGATGTGTAGGTGCAACCATCACAGTGACATCTGCTGCTGTAGCAATTTGAGTGTATTTGCGACCATCCCCAAATCTCAGCAGTATTCTGTAATGAGTCTTACCACATTTGTAAGCTGGGTAATGGCCACTTCAAAATACACTGTGACAGGATCAGAGACATTTTCCACTGGCCTGATGAACTGGTTGTACTGGGAGAAGAGTCTGTGAAATAACCGTTCCTCGGATTCACAGGCTGTGGTATCTGTGTTGGTAAAGATAAAGGACAGCTATGTCAGAGGTAACAAAGAGGGAAAGAAGTTGCCCGGTAGCATATGAGTCCATGGCGTATTTCTGGATTCTGTGCTTGCGACCGGGTATCAAGACAGAAGAGTGCAGAGAGAAGAGGGCTGCCAGTATGATGTCAGCTGAAAGCATTCTCCTGCAGGATGCTGCCCGTGTCCTCAAAGTGTAAGGGTGTGGCCTGAATGGGAGTGTCTCCTAAACTGGACCTAGCCTATGGGCCTCCATTTGCCCCACCCTGACATCAGATCAAAGTAGAATAAGGTGGTATGAAGTAGAAAAAGTAAAAATGTGGTGGATTTCGTCTTCAGGAGTTTTTATAGTAAAATTGAGAGTTTATGAAAAGTGTAGCTACTTACTCTGAAATTAAAAACTTGAGGCTGCAACTACTGGATAAAAAATTATGTTAGTGGCTCTGATTAGGCGTTTATAATGCTGCCTCCTAGTCTTAAAAACTATGACTACCTTTTATCCTCATGTTTGTTCCTTCAGTTCTTTAGATAGCACAATTTTTACTCTGAAGGAAGCTCATTTATTAAGTTATATGAGAAAAAAAGTGGAAATATTAACATTTCTTATAGAATAGCATGCATCTTTGTAAAACAGAGCTGTTCTTCGGTAGCAAGCAGATCATAGCTCTAACTCCTAGTCAGTGCAGGACAGATCAGATGGCTTAGCAGGAATTGCAGGAATGGGGTATATGAGAGCCACTGAGCTGCCTCACTGCAGAGTCAAGAAGAATGCTCTTAATTTGTTACATACAGTCCAAAAATATCCTGAAATACTTATTTTCAAAGTGCTAAAGGCTACAGACTTTGATTCCAAAAGGCAAGAGTAAATCATGCAGACTCTGGCAACATTAGCTCAGAAAATACTTTTCTTGAATGACTTTGTTATTTCAATGCATTACTATAATTCAGCACATAAATTCAAAATACTTTATAAGGCAAAGACTTAGAATGTGTTTGTCATATTGAGCACAGTTGTGTTATCAAAGCTGTATGACGACACCAAAGATATTACTAATAAAACTGAGGAAAAATTAGTTTTTCACATACATGGTCATAAGTCTTTATATCAGTCCCAGACTACACTAGAACATATCAGGAAAGCAATCATGATAAGCCTTGATGACTGCAAAAATCTTAAACATAGAAGGGGTTTGTGTCGTACACCATGGTCTCTGTCACAGAATAGGACATAAATTTGCAATTTCCTTCGGTGAACACAAGAGCCTGTGGTTGCACAGATGTCCTACAGGGAGATGTTTAGTCTTAGCATACAGCACTGTTTTCATGCCTAGGCCGTCCTTCTCCTGGTTTTGGAAAAAAAAAGTGATGCAAAGCATGCTTAGATTCAGGGGGATTATCACAATAATTAATTAACATTGGTTAGTGACAATTTACATATATGGAAATAAAATTCTAGTAAAAATTCCATGACTTGATGTTTTGTTTCATCCTTACATAGCATTACTCAGAGAAGATACATGAATATGAGTGGGAACACGAGATTCCTAGCAAAGCCTCTTGACTAAAGCCAGTGAATCATGTTTCATTTGAAATTTTCCTACTGTTTCCTTAACAGACACATGCTTTAAAATAAAGTAACAGAAACAGACAAGTATTTAGGCCTCTCATTCTTTACTTCAGTGACAGATTTTCATTCCATTGGTGCTACTTTAAGAAAGTGCCTTATGCATTGCTAACACAAGCACTGTAATTCGTACATGTCTTGATTGTCAGCAGAAGTGAAACTTTCAAAAAAGATGTAGTGACTTAAAAGCAGAAATCTTTCTGAACTTCAGTGAGACATATACATGGAAATCACTCCATCATATTTAACCATAGTTCACAAACAACAGTGAACAAAAATATAATGAGTTCTCACTTTTGAAGGTGTGAGTGCTGAACATGCACATCTTTAGCCTGCCTATTTAAGCAACTGCAAAATTCAAGCAGCAAACAAAACTACTAGAACTCCTATTTAATTTTCATTCTTTGCTAGAAACAGTTCCCCAATTAGTTATCAAACGAAAATGAAGAGTTTTATGTGTGAAAACTAGTATTACTTTAGCTTTCTTAAAATACTGTTGAAATGTTACAGATTTCAGGTTAGAAATAGCTCAGATAAGCTTTATATTGAATTCATTCCAGGAAAACAGAAGCAGAGACAGTGACTTGAAAATATTTTAGAGACTAATATCAAAGACAGCCTACCTTTAATCATGGATGTGAACATGAATGCCCACACACAGAAAGCAGGGTAACACCAACAAAGCCACCTCTCAGGATGCATTGCTAGCAGCAGTATCGAGCTTCCTTTTGAAAAGAGAGGTTTGGGGAAAGAAACAGAAGGCAAGAAGACATACAAGCCCCCTGGACGGTAAGTAGGCGGTACAAAGACGGATTTCAGTTTTGCATTTGCAGCAAACTCTGCAGTCTGCTGAGCAAAGCAAAGCCTTGCAGAGCTGCTTCCACTATCACCAGGCGAGGAGAGCTTATGCTGTGCATCGAGAAGGGAGTCAGGCAGCATCCTATCAGGTGACTTTTCCCATCTCCAGTCCCCCACATCCTTGCCTCCGGGGAAATGTGCAAGAGCGCAGGAGAGCGAGGGAAGGCTAGACACAGTGCAGCGTGCTGGAGCCGGGCAGGGGGAGGAATTCACTCAGCCCTCCACCCACTGGTTAAAGGACACTCATCCAAAAGCAGCTGCTTTAGCTATCGCCTGGTGCTTACCTGAGTGAGTTTATCAGAATACGCAGAGATTAAACTTTTCAGTTTCCTGTCTGAGAACTAATTCTGCACCAGGAGAAATGGAAGCTATATGGTTTTAGCACCTCTACCAGAAACCATCCGAACCTTGAAATAAGAACAGAATCATGCCACAGAATTGCTTGACAGTATTCTGAGTGAATAAATCTAACCTAAGGCAAGTAGATTTATTGTCACCATCTGAGACGAACACCTAAGCATGCTAAATTTTTTTATGACAGATAAGTCAGCTCACAACATAAATTTTTCTATATTTTTTTTTGTTCGTGTGTGCAGTGATTCCTGTGCCAATATCCTGGCAGCATGGAAATGGAGCAGTAGAATAACAGAAAAACCCCAGGTGCTGTTACAGAAGTACCTAACAGGCCAAGTTCACTCGGAAAGAATGTTACTCTTAATCACAAAAGTTAAAAAACCAGAGATTGTCATCTTGTAGAGATCAGTGTG